ATAAGCAGGTTTTAGAGGAAACCTGGCTGTTGAATTGAATTTGGAATGAATATAAGCAAGGACCTCCATAAAAGCAACAGGTGCTGTTTTCTCACACCCTTCCTTCTACTAACTTGCCAGCATTTGTCTAGAAATTTCCCTGAGGGAGCAGAATGTAAAAATGCTGGCTTACATGAACTACTTGCTATTATAGACTCATTTACATGGTACCCTTAGATATTTTTCTCTTCCATTATTTAACTGTTGCTGAGAAGTTTACATACTTGCTCCAGGAACTATCAGAAGATACAAGCCTTCTAGAGTTGCAACAACTGCCTCCCCATAGAGATTCTTCCAAGGAATCTTCAGAGTAAGTTTATCTAAACAAAGCAGATACATCAAAATAAACATCTTCACTGTGCTTAGTCCAAAGAACACCTCTGGCATTAAAGAGCACTAGTGCTATATATTGATGTCCAAAACACCTTAGAAGGTTAGGAGAAACTATATGAGCATCAACATTTTATAAAGCCCTTGAAGTGATAAAATACATGCAGAAGAAACATAAGCTGTAGTTTTAATCAAAACGTTGCAGTCTGAGTCAGAATACTTCAAATCAAAACTCGAGATCATGACTGAAGTTCAATTCACCAGGACAAATATGATTTTCCCAGGAAATAGAAGAAAAAATACAATGCATATGTTTAATAAATGTTTCTTGTGAAAAAGCAATGCTGACTACCAGGGAAAGGAATTACAAAGAAAAATATCTAAGAGTTCCTAAATCTTTGGCATATTTGTCAGACAGTCCCAATCAGTCCTTTAAAGAGAAACACATACTCCATCTACACCAAACAGCTCCCCTGATCATTCATCTCTCCAGGAAGAACCTCTCAGATGTGTAACTTTACTGTAAACTTACACAAACAGGGTTTGCCAGATAACATTGATGGCATCAATAACATCTATGCTGGTTCCAACAGCGATTATAATGACACTTAAGAAAGCTTGATAAAAGAAATTCAGGGGCAAGATTGCAGCTTATATTAAAATTTCCATTGCAATAGTCATATTGGAACTAAAACTTACCTATCTGACCAACTTTTACTCTAAAAGGTACATCCAGTTCACTCTGTAAATGACAAAAATAAAGTATTAAACAGAAGTAGTAAAAATCAAATAAATAAATTTAAATTACATTTTCAAAGTACTGTATTAACATACAGAAATTAAAAGCTACTTCTTTTGTAGTGGAAAACCTTAGAAGGAAAACAAGACAGCAGCAGACAGGCAAACTAGAGGAAATAAGAAAAAGAATTGGACCTTATCATATTCCTTTGACCCCTTCTTTTTCAAGAAAGTAGAGGCTACTTCTCTAAAAGTGGTATTCACTACTGATCTTCCTTTAACAACTTTTGAGTAGAAATCTAACATATTGTAATTTTAAGGATGTCAGAACCATCCCTTATTTTATGTTCTTGACTTGGTCTTGGCTCACTCTCAGCTCTGGTCAGCCACATACATGACTTTGCATTTTTCTGTGTCAGAACTGCTGGAATCTGAATCAAACCCCATAAGAAGGAGAGGCGTGTACAAAGTAACACTTCCTTCCCTTTTTATCTATCAGATATGAAGATATTTGTAGCAATAGATTTGAAGTACAACAAAGCTGTCAGGAATGGATGAAATGGACAAGTAAAAGATGAAACTTTATAATAACAAAGAGAAGCCAGTGATCAGGTTGTATAAAGACCCAATGTGTTTTCAATGCACAGAAGAGTAACAGTTCTCCTTAGTGAGAACTAAATTTTGGAGCAAGATTCTCTCAGCAGTACAGATGTTGCCAAATTAAAGAACATGAAAATTAGCCAAGTCATTTGCTTTTCCAGACAAGAATATGGGAACTTAATGCAAGTTAGTTCTTGTTTTTCAACCACAACTCTTCTTTCTCTGTCCCAGTAAAATGAACAAAATTAGAAGCTGTTAACCAAGAACTTACTTCCAACAACCAGTAAAAAAGAACACAGTGTATCCTTTTGTGAGACTACAGTGAGCAATATTTTATCCTAAGTTTCAGTGTTTAGAACCATAAAACCAATCTGAAGTTATTAGGATACTTACTAATGCATTCTCCTTTATCTGTAAATTTTCAAGTGCCACATTACCTGTTTAGAAGAAAGAGATAAATATGGAAAAAATTACTTCAAGTACTACTTA